ATTGTATGCTTTTGTTGTGACATTTTTCAAAGGCATTAAATTCACTATAAATTTTGTACCAGAGCAGTTCAATCTTTCATGCCATGATCTATGGAACTCGATTGGTACGAGAAATTAAACTTGAATAAGTTTACCAAACTTTTAAACCTAAATGCGAGACATCAAACTTATAATCAAAAAAACGAAAAAACAAGAAGGAAGATTTAAGACCAACCCTTTATTGGATTCATTCCTTAATATTATTTTATCAATATATAATACTTATATCATATATATTAAAAATTATTTAATTATGATCGTAATCTATCCATACGTACAATCTTATATATTAAAACATATAATATAAGTCGATCAATCGTTTGATAATTGCACAAACAATAATTGAGATTGAATCTATTTTGGTTTTAATCATATAATTCAACTAAATCTAAAAAAAAATAAAATTCAAAGGTCTGATTGATTGACTAATTAAAACCCTCTCATTTAGCTGTTCTTCACCCCCCAAGACCAAAGTCCGCCGAACATAATTTATTTCAACCCTTTCTTTAATTAAGTGTCATTATCAAAATTAATTACCCATTTTTCTATTAATTAAAAGAATCCAAAAACCGAAAGTCAAGGACTTAAATTAGAGGTTGGTTCTTCTTCCTCGGTTTCTATAAAAATTTACCAACTTTTTGTCCCCAGTTGCACCTTCTACACAACACTTTCAAAAAGGGCATGTCGGTTCATTAAGATAAATAATAATAATAATAATAATAAAACCTTGTCTCCATGCACAATCTAACCCACTTCTACTATAAATAATTTATTATTTATTATCATAAAACTTTTTAATTACATTATCAAGTCAACTCTACTAGTAAATAAAATTAATTTAAAATTTTCACTTAAATATCTCTGGTTTTGAACTTACAAATGAAAATATAATTTACGAGCTTCTTTTACATAACCTGACCAATTCGATTAATAACTATTTATAAATACAAATTAACAATAATAATTTTTTATTTTTTTGATCCGAACATATGATATAAGTTGAATTTCTCAAAAACCAAAATTTGGAAGTAAATATTACTTCACCCAAACTTTACTTCAAAGTCCCAACAATAAGCAACAACCTTTAGGTTTTTTTATTTTTACAGGAAATTAAAAAGAAAAGACAATTAATAATTTAATTACCCCAATTAATTGGATTTGTTCTTAAAAATTCAAATAAATTTTAATATTTAGTAATTTTAATTACTCACAATTGGATTTTCTCTTTCTAACGCAGCCAGACAAAAGGCTCACAAATCTATATGATTATATGTCAAAATCATACACAAAACACTAAAAGTGTGCTGTATTCCATATGTTTTTTCACTTACAAAAAGAAAGAAATTTTTAAAAAAATTTACCGTTTGTTTTATTATTCCTAGTTGACATAGATAAATTAAAAAATACAGCTTTTTTGCCCTGTTGCAGCACAATTAATCCTAGGATATTCTATATAAATAAACAATATAAGATTTGGGAAATCAAATATGTCTATTTTTCTCTTTTTATTTTTTATTTTTGGAACATATTTTGATTTAAAGTTGTAACTACCATCATAATTATCTTTTGAACTTCATCGGGATCTTTGTCTTATATTTAATTTTTTGTCTTATTTTTATTAGAGTAAAAATAAAAATAAAATTATATGACAAAAGTAGTAATGGTGGTATTTTTTTTCAACAAAAATAATTATAAAAAAACCCCAAAATTGTACGGTATTTTCACCTAGATCACACAAGAATAATAAGGAAATATATATATATATATATTATTTTGGTATGCAAATAAAAAAATAAAAATATTTAAAATATTAATAAAATGTAAATAAAAGATTTTGCTTGCTCTTCCGACACAACCCTAGTACTATTTAAGGAACCAAAGCCACTCACAACTCAAACCTTGAAACACACCCAACCCTCATAGCTTTCACGTACCAAAGGCAAAGCTCCGACTGGAAAACACGAAGGAAGAAGAAGATCAATGTCTTCTTTTCGTTTTCTTCTTCTCTTCACGATTTTCCTTCTTCTTTTCCATCAAAACTTTTCTTTTCCTTCCAAACAAACACTCCTTTTACCGCTCAAAAAGACTCTTGGTCATGACCCACATGCTTTTGGTCGAAGCTCTAAATTGCTTTCCTCCTCCGCCATCGCCACCGCCACCAACAAGCTTGCTTTCCACCATAACGTAACTTTGACAGTTTCTTTATCCGTGGGCTCGCCCCCGCAGAATGTTACTATGGTTCTCGACACAGGGAGTGAACTCTCTTGGCTTCACTGTAAGAAAGCTCCCAACTTAAACTCCATCTTCACACCTCAAGCTTCCAAGTCTTACAAGCCCATCCCTTGCACTTCGCCAATTTGTAGAACCCGAACCCGAGACTTAACCTTGCCGGCTTCCTGTGATCCGAATAACAAGCTCTGCCACGTGGCAGTATCGTATGCTGACGCTTCCTCGATTGAAGGAAATCTCGCGAATGAAAATTTTGTAATCGGAACCTCGACTCGACCTGGGTTTTTATTCGGGTGCATGGACTCGGGTTTCAGCTCGAACTCGGAGGAAGATTCGAAAACGACCGGGTTAATGGGCATGAACCGTGGGTCGTTATCTTTCGTGAGTCAAATGGGTTTTCCCAAATTCTCCTACTGCATATCGGGTTTTGACTCGTCTGGCGTTTTACTTCTCGGTGACGCTAGCTTCTCGTGGCTGAAGGGGTTAAATTACACTCCTTTGATTCAAATATCCGACCCGTTACCATATTATGATCGGGTTGCATATACAGTCCAACTAGAGGGTATTAAAGTTGGGAATAAAATGTTGAACCTGCCGAGATCCGCTTTTCTACCCGATCATACCGGTGCGGGTCAAACAATGGTTGACTCGGGCACCCAATTTACTTTCTTATTGGGTCCGGTTTATACCGCGTTAAAAAACGAGTTTTTGCAACAAACGAGAGGAGTTTTACGAGTTCAGGAGGATCCTAATTTTGTTTTCCAAGCGGCAATGGATTTGTGTTATCTAGTAAGCGATTCATCTCGGGCTAGTTTTTCCAATTTACCGCGGGTCAGCCTAATGTTTCAAGGGGCCGAGATGAGTGTGTCAGGCGAGAGGTTATTATATCGAGTACCCGGGATGAACAAGGGGAGTGATTCCGTGTATTGCTTCACATTCGGGAACTCTGATTTGCTAGGGATCGAGGCGTTTGTGATTGGCCATCATCATCAGCAAAACGTGTGGATGGAATTCGATCTGGTGAGATCACGGGTCGGATTTGCAGAGATCAGATGTGATCTCGCTGGTCAAAGGCTCGGGATGGGCCTCTAAAAACAACATGGACCCACGAAATGGCAGGGGATTTTTGGGGGTGTTTATAAAAAATGGAGCCCACATTGTCCAATCCATGGCCCACCTTTTTATGTAGAGGTGGACCTTTGATCGGACAATGTATGGTCTTGATTGAAAAAATGTATGGGATTTTTTTTATATTGTAAATAAATTTTTATTTTTTTAAAAAACTCTGATTCCCTGAATCTCTGTCGAGTTTGGTAATAATAGGGAATAAAGAATCAATCTCTGATCTGAAATCTGGAGGCTGATGATCATGATCAAACTTTTTTTAAAATTTTTTGAGTTAATTTTCTGAAACAAACAGTAAAAGTGTAGAAAATTCCAGGCTGGCAATAGTGAAAGCCGCCACATGGATATTCGGTAGTGGGCCAATGCCAGCTCTCCATGATAAAACCAAAATCTCTTTGTTCCATTTTTAATTTCTTTTCTTTTTTTACTGTTTTGGTTATTATATCAAAAATAAATATTTTTGAAATTCGGTGAGAGATTTAGCTTCCAAAAAGATTGTATAATAGATGACTTGCCGACAATAATCAATACGTTAGTATGTAAGATGAAATTATTATGTGATTATATTAATATTTATTATAATATATTAATATAAAATATGATTTAATTGAAGATATTTTTTTAATTAAAAAAGAAGAATTCAAATAAAAAATTATATATTAATCAATAAATCAAATATTTTGATATATTAAATATATTTAATTAATTATTAATTATTAATTTATTTAATTTAAAATAAATTATAAAAATTTTATTAAAAATAAAAAATTATTTAAAAATTTTAAATTAAGAGTCACATTTTTTTAACTACTTTATAACATCATCATATTTCTATTCCATTTGTTGGGATAAAAAGTTTGATATAACCAAGGTCATCGATATATATTATTTAACAATAAATTTACTTACTACTAGGCTGTTTTTGTGCGGTGAAGGCTAGTATTGGCTGCTTTTCAGTTTCTGCGTGGTAGAGTGGACCCTACTTATCAAAAGCTTTGATAACATTTCGAGAAAGCACGTGTACATCTTATAAAATGCCACTTTAATCAGTAAGTCAAAATCATACGTCGACACGTGGGGGATTGTAGGACCCACCTCAGTTAAAACCTTCCTACATTTTTTATTTTCTTTTTTTTTGTATTAAAAAAAAAAAAGAGAAAATTCTTTCAGCACAGAGATGTATTTTGCTCTGCCCCGGCTGTCACCTTATCTGATTCTTGCAGTGCCTTGTTTGTCTATTTGTCTGTTTTGTCCAAATTTAAATAGGTGTAATTTTATCATTCTAATTTTTAATTTGGGTAAAAAATAATTAAAACTTACCGATAAAAGAAAATTTCGTAACAGAAATAACAGAATATTTCAGAATATTTTAATTTCATAATAATTTAACCTAAATTTAAAAATAAATAATAAATTTAATCCATCATTTTGAATAAGGTAATAAAAAAATTAAAATACTTTTACTTTAAGTAAAAATATTAAATTCAAATACACATATTTACGCAAACGAGACCCCAAAAAATGAACTGTAAAAAACGAAGACGTGGAAGCGAGAAAGTGGTAAGCGACATCGTTTTGGAGTCTTCGTTATGGTTTAGAGACCAGAAGGCAAAAAGGGCTTCTTACAAGCTGACGAGGAAAGCGTTAGGCAGGAAACGCCCGACGCGTCCGAGTCGACTCGGTCCTCTAATCTTCTACATGAAAAGGTTGCCTCGACATTACATTTGTCCAAGACGACTCCGATCCGCCGTCGTTTCCCCTCCCGATCTCTGTAAGTAATCTCTCTCCTCTTTGATTTCTTCATTTTGATCAAATTTTTTCCGATTATTTGAAGCTTTAATCTGTTAATTACGGATCTGCTCATAGAAGCCACTTGGTTATGTAAATAATTAGAGATTAGGTTTTTTAGGTAATTTTCGTTGTATTTGCGGAACTAAATCGACGTGTTTTTATTCGATGTTGGAGTAAAATCTGTAAAATTTATTAAATTTAATACGAAATGAAATTATTTCGATTTTTCTTACAATTATTTGAATCTAAAGTAGATTTATGTTAAAATTTAATTAAAATATATTGGCTGGAGTAATTGTAAAATTAGTATACTGATTTTCTGATTAAACATTTTTTTTTTGAATTTATGCAGATTTTTGAGGAGTCAATATAGTAGGGTTGATTCTTTTATTCTGCTTAGACAGGAAAATTTGGGAACTTTTTTCATTATTATTGGTATGTAATTGAACTGGTGAATTTTATTTACACAACCATGAGTTTCGTTTTCCGAGGGACGAGATCAGATTTAGAGAGTGGATTTCCAGGATTCATTCCGGAAAGGCGTGCTGTGGTATGTTACTATTACTTCACATGCTTGACTTTGTATTGTTATAGTTATGATACCTCATCGCCTTGGGATTATATTGTTACAATTGATGAAAGCCCATATAAGGGTTCAAGTTACTCACTTTTAGCAACTTGAGGTTAAAATGGTTTTCACTGCTACAAGGGTTGGACTTAAAAAGTTACTTAGCCAATGGTGCTTAGACTTAGAGGATTATAGTTTTGTTTTATTCATTTGTAGTTTGTTTATTTTTTTCAATCAATATGATTTGATGTAAGTCTATTGTTTGTCAGCGTGTCCATGCAGGACGTCCTGTTAATTCCAACTCTCTTGTATTTCTTGTTACAGGTACTTGTATAGCTTTTTGTTTGTCTTAATTGCAACATATTTCATTTAGTTTGTTTATCTTTATTGATATTTTTGTTTGTTGTGACAGTACTTTTGCTATTCATGATATTGAACTCACACCAGATGTCACCTAATTTTCTGGTATTTTCGTACACTGAGTAGTTAAATTTTAAATAGCATGTTGTCTATCTGTTTCACAATGTTGAAATTTAAATTTTAAGGGACTTTCCTGTTAAATCAATTCATGTAGCTTTGGCTGGTCCTTGGAGTGTTTTTGATGGCCGCAACCTTAAGGATGTATGCTACCTGTCAACAACTTCAAGCTCAGGCCCAAGCACATGCTGCAGCAGCAAGTGGCCTTCTTGGCCATACTGAACTGCGGTTGCATATGCCACCATCAATTGCACTTGCAACAAGAGGGCGTCTACAAGGCCTTAGATTGCAGCTTGCACTTCTCGACCGAGAATTTGATGATCTTGGTATGGTGTTTAAATTTAGGCTTAATAATGTGTTTCATAGGTCAATACAGTGGTTGCCAATTTGTAAACCCTAGCTAGGACCTTTTCTGTTTGGTTTTGTGCCCATATTTTCTGCATCCTAATATTATAAGGAGTTGCTATTTATCACTAGATTATGAAACTCTGAGAGCACTTGATGCCGACAATGTCCCCACAGCTACTTCATTGAGCGAAGAAGAGATAAATGCCCTTCCAGTTCACAAGTATAAGGTGGCTGCTCCTCAAAGGTAAGTATCCATTTTCTTCATTTATTCGTGCACTTGATTCAAGGGCATAAACCTTCCTCTCAATGCATTTTGGAAGGGCACCCCTCTGCTTTTATGAAAGGAGGTATATATTAACAGCAGAGGTTTTTCTTCAGCTATCTCATTGAACAAGTGAACATTAATCAAAGCCCTAAAAAGGAAGCTGGAAAGAAAAGAAACTTTACAAGTGTATATTGTCTGTGTATGTCTGTCCTGCACACTTGCAGCACTATCTTGAGTGACTTCTATCCTGATCAAGTATGGCTGTCCAAAGTTGTCCTCGTGCATAACATTCACTAGCTGTTTCTGTGTATCATCTAGTGCCAATAGTTACTGCTATAGTTTTTCTATGGTGCTAGAAGTTTCGAATGACAAACAGATAACTGGCAGATGTTGGGAATGTGAAGGTTTTTTTTTTTTTTTTGGTGATGCTTAGATATATTTGAAAACGATTTTTCGACAGCTGTACAGAAGTGTCTTTATTTTCAGTTTTGAAATCTTTGAGTTATTGAAACATTGTTATAACCTTTTATTTTTTTTTTCTTTTGGAACCTATAAGCTAATAATCTGATGAGAAGTTGCTTTTGCTTTATAGCAGTGACTCTACAATGCAACAAGCATCATCTTCAAACTCACCTCAGGTATTTTTACAACTCTCCCTCTCTTTGTTTTTACCTTAGAATAGTAATTTTTAGTTGAGGATTCATATCTTGGGTTTGGTTTCTTTGTGTTGTTTTTTTGGCGATAGTGTCTTTGTGTTCTTTGTTTTGAGAAGGGTTGTGTAGTGTTTAGCTTAGAATAGTATACAAATGTCCGAAACATGACCACTGGCAGTTTTTGTTGGCAATGAAGGGAGATGTTGAATATTGGATTATTAACACTTTATGATCTTTTCCAAGGTAAGTTCTTGGGAGACTATATTTGAAAGGGTTTTATCTGTTAGCATTTCACATAATCTGGTATTTGAAGAAAATAGCGACTGCATGCTCTCTTGTTTTTTCCCGAAAATGAAGAGTCTAATTTGGTAACTTATTCTCTTTGGCAGAAGAAGCACGATTCTACTAATCCAGTTTGTGGCATGAAGGGCTCAGAAGATGAATTGACCTGCAGTGTTTGCTTGGAGCAAGTCAGTGTTGGAGACCTCATCCGCAGTTTACCCTGTTTGCATCAGGTTTTTTTTTTGCCCTCCTCAAAGTGGTTTGTTTTTCAGCTCTTTTCTCTATTTTTGGTTTTTCTCTTTATCATGAAGGATAAAAATATTTCCAGTTAATCTGGTTGGATAAAAAGCTTCTTTACATACCCTCTACTAAACTAGTAAAGCTAATGCAGTTTGAAAATAAAAAGAGGCAGTTATCTTGAATGTCTTTGTATTTTATGTAGAACAATGTCAGTCTTATGCAAGTTTATGATGAATTGCTGCAGTTTCATGCTAGTTGCATCGACCCATGGTTACGACAACAAGGAACATGCCCTGTTTGTAAGTTCCGAGCAGGATCTGGGTGGCATGAAACTGGTGGAATAGATGCTTCCTACATGGTTTAGTCACTTTAAGCTGTCTGTGCATCATTGTATCTAACATATAAATCTACATATACAAGCCCATTGACCAAAATGAGAGGTCGAATCCCTTAACTTATTTCTAGAATTGGTGAATCACTTGACAGCTGATGATTGTATGATCACCTAACAAGCTTGTATAATAGTTTGTTCTTGATGTTACAAAAGAATTCTGATCTTATGCCGTATCTTATCAATTATGTTGGCAATCAATTTTTTTACGACATTTGAAAGATCAAACAGAGTCAGCATACCGGGATCAATTGGTCAAGTATCATCTTTTAGTATGAAAGATTAAACTAAATGTGTATGCTTTCAAATGACATGCATGGGCCATTTTTGCATGAAAGGTTAAACAAAGTATATAAACTTATCACCATTTTCAACATAGTTGCTATGTTGCAGGGATAAAAGGGTTGTAGCCACCCTTTTGCAACATTGACAGTAACCAGTATCACCATTTAAAAGAGCTTACATGGAAAATAAGTTTGATACATTTTTTATTAGTCCAATCATCAAATATATCTTTATATTAGTGTGTGATAAGCAATTATTTGGCTTTGCCCTTCCCTTTTCCTTGACCTTTCTTGGCCTCTAACTTGGCTTGAATACGGGCGGCAGCAGCAGCTTTTGCTTCTTCTCTCTTCTTTTTTTCTTCTTCCTTCACAGCAGCAGCAAGTTCCCTCTGCTTCTTCAGCTCTCTGATTTTAAGTTTATCAAAAGGTAAATGAAATTTGCATTGTTCCATGTACCATATAAAATGCAGAACCAAAGACAATAAGGGCAAGAGAGAAAAAGAATGAGACTTACTCTAGCCTAGCTCTCTCCTCTGAAGCACTACCAAGACTAGAACCTTTCCGTGGCCTGCACGACAGTAACTCCACCTCGAAAATAAGGGTTGCACTGCCATAAAAAATACGCAATCATCTAAAATTCATCCTTGAGAAATTAAAGAGATACAAAATAATCCCATTTCAAAGGTAAATATCCAAGCAGGTCAGTTTGATTGTATACTCAACATGAGGATCATCCTAGTATATGTGCAAAATTTCCAGATGCATTAACAGTGCCAATTGTTAACTCTCAGAATGCATTTTTTAATGACATTTAAAGATGACAAGAGACACACATACTTAGGTGGGATATCAGGTGGAGAGCCTGCACTACCATAGGCATACTCTGGCTTGCAAGTTATTTTTGCAACTTCGCCAACCTGTCAAAAAGGTTAAAAAAGATATGTAATGGAAATCTAAATCACTTAAAAAAACTGCAGGAAGAAAGCATATGTGACCTTCATGGTTCTCAATGCTACGTCCCAAGCCTGAATAACTGTGCCCTTCCCAAGCTCAAAGGAAAAAACAGAGTTATCTTCATGTGTAGTATCAAAAACTTCACCAGTTTCAGCAAGAGTGCCTTCATAATGAACTGTTCAACACCAAACAAGCAAATTTTACAAATCAGGAATCTAAGGTGAGTGCTCATTATATACTTAGACTACATAGATAGAATAAAGATAAAATGGTAAAAAGCTTCAAGCTATCTCATAGCAAATGAACAAAAGTCTGCATGCGACAAGTGCATACCATCAACCATAGGAAGGTCCTCAGAAGGAGCAAGAGCACCAGCTTTGGCTCGAGTTATGATCTTCTTAACAACACCTCCATCGCCAGTCAAATCAATTACATCATCCATGGTGTCTAGACTATTAAAAACCTGATCAAGCGAGAGAAACAACACGTATGGAAAAAAAAAATTGAATTTTTAGAACCTTATCAACATCAGTTCAGTGATTTTAGCCAATAAACTAAACGCACATGCACACATTAGCTCATGATATACCTTTAGACAATGAACAACAAGGTGAACCTCAAAGACAGAAAGGCAAGCAATTAAGAGTAACTTGTCAAAAAGGTTGTTCAAGACATACAAATAAGGTAAATGCAACTCAAATCCATTACAGCACCCTCCAATCCCCAAAAGCTTTACCATTCTTGCATGTTCACAAACAAAACATGTTGATAAAACATTACAACAACAATAACTGCCCTTCTCCCGCAACCCAAAGTCACATACACGGATCATATCTTGCCATAGTAAACAAATTTGAGACCAAAATTGGAAAAAATTTTTACAACAACAAATTCAAACTTACAATTAACTATTTTCCTTACCATTTCTCTCAAAAATTAGGGATAAATAGTAAACCCTAAACCCTTCTACCCTTGTTCCACCCCCCCCCCCCCTCTCCCAAATTTATCCCCAAGAATTTCCCCAAATGGAAATATGAATACCATACCATCATTTTACATAAAAGGGTTCATTTCTCCTACAATTTCTCTCATAATCATAATTAAAAAAAAAGGTAAAACCATAAAACCCAAGGAAACCCAATTCCTCAAATTTCCTTCCAATCTAATTACAGTGGCTTAAAAACCCTAAGGCTTTAAAAGAAATTCAGAGAATGAACAATTTAGCTAAGTAAATAGATGGAAAGTGTTCTTGGACTGACCCGGACTAGAGCGAGGACTGAGGATGCGAAGACAGAGTGAGCGATTCGGTATTCGGGTCGGGTCGCAGGCGATGTTTCGGATAAATCGCCGTCGGTTCTGGTGGCCATATACGCGTCAAATTGGAGCTTTGTTTTGGGGGTTCACACGAAGAGTTTAAAAACAAAAAATGAAATTAAACTGACTTTTCCCAAAATGAAAGAAGACGAATAATATTCCCACTCGCGTTCCTAGCGTGTGCAGAAAACGGCGAAGAGAAGAAACATTGAATTCCATTCCCGTTTGCGTAACGCAGGAAGGTGAATCGTGCTCTTGTGAGTTGAACTCTTTGTTGGTGGATGAAGCTGGGCTGATGGGGTCAATGGCTCTGATGGATTGGGCTTAATGCCCTAATGAATTGGGCTTAAAGCCCAAATATGCAAAATTATTAGAGAATGGGCGTTTTAATTGTACATGGCCTCGGCCCCCAAAAAAGAACCGAATAAAGCCCAAAACATTGAGATCATGAAAGTTAGACAAAAGCATTTCAAACTGAAAATTTTCATAATAAATGTTTAAAATTAAGATACTTTATAATCGGATTCGAATAATAAAATTATTACCCGTAACTGGTTCAGGTGAAAGTTTTAAGATACCCACTACCCAAACTCATTAATATGATTTTGAATATTATAGTAAATTATTACCAACCATTTGGATCTCATGAACTCATGACTTTAGATAAAGACACATAAATATTGAACATGAGAAATATTCAAATTACATTTTATTAACTTTTAATTATTATCTTTATCGAATAAAATTTGTTCTCATCGTTTATGATTTTAAAAATCACTTGTCGAACTCATTCTCTTTCTTACTTGGAACTTATTTAATAATAAAAAAATTATTTATTTGAGTTATCCGTAATTATGACAACTGAATTTTTTGTTACAAAACATACTAAAAATTGCTAAATCGACATATACAAACAATTGTGAGGACATCTCATTACTCCAATGCTACATCTTGAGGGATGAAGTATTAAAAGCCTTTACTCAAAATCAACAAGGCCTTATTCATGTACAAGGTTTAGCTAAGTCCAAATGCAATGCATAAGTCCAAGCATACACACCCACAATACATAAGTCTAGGCTAAGGCACCCCTTATTCAATGTTTAGTGATAGCTTAATAAAAGAGAATACCTTGTTCCTTTGACCAAAAGGATCTTGCCCCATAATAATTGTGTTTGATATTTAATTTTTTTTATAATTAAAAGGGAGAGGATTTAAATTTTATTTTTTAGATAGTGAAATAATACATTAATCAATGAACTAAATATTTAAGTATTTATTTAATATTTATTTTATTTGTTATAAATTTTATAATTTTAATTAAAAATATATCAAATTTTCAATAATAACTATCGCCAAACTAAATCCATTCCGACAACTCTAAAACTAGATTCCTAAAAGCCTATATCGAGTTCGAAGAGTATACAGTGTATTTTGTTCAAGAAAGAATGAGCCAAAAGACTATCTTGTCATGGGCGTGGGTCCCAAATTTCTAGCCTTCCATGTGCCTGATGGTCCCATTCGGAAGGTGACTGTCCAACGGGGGGTTGCCATGTGGTCTGGTTCTAATTTCAGGCATTTATCATACTGTTCCAACTTCTAAGCTTGCGTGTTCTTGATGTGACCATTGACCAAACAGGGACCTAAGGTTCCGCCTGTTTCATAGACCTTGTCCTATATAAGGAAATTCTCCGGGTTTAGGGCTAGGCCCACAAATGTGTTTATGATTTTGTCTTTGGTAAGGGGTTAGTCTTTCATTTTTTCAAGGCTTTGTTTGGATACCACTTTTAACGTGAAATTGCAATGGTGATAGGTGTTGACGGTCGATTTTTTTTTATTTAAAATATATAAATTTATAATTATATATAATTATTTTTTATGTAAAATCTCAAATCTACCATTGCTTTTAGAATTAAGATTTTGGACTTAAATCTATTGACTCTTTAATAGACAAGTAGAGGAATGCGGTGCCATAAATTGTAGTAAGTTTTTTAAGGATATAGTGGCAGCTTTCCTTAAACTATGGACCACTCTAACACCAATTTTGGTTATGTTATTGACATGAGAACATTTTTCTCTATTTACATTGAAAAAAAAATAAAAGAAAAGAGAGATTTGGGATTTCATGGTGGAACCAAATAAATGACAAATTTTGGACTTATTGAGATGGAAAAGAATTAATATTTTATATAGGTTGTGGTCACAAGCTAAGATTCCATAATCAATGCAAAGCAAAATAATAATAATAATAAAGGAAGATTTGGGTCATTGTTGCAGATAAATTTGGGTCCAAATTGGTTTAAAAAAACAAAAGGAAACCCATCATTATAACCTCCAAAAAGAAATAGAAAACAACATTACTCTTATAGACCCACAATTGACTTGGTAAAAAAAAAAAAGAGTGCAAATTGATTTATCATTGTTATCCAAAGTGTAATGATTAATAAAATCAACACACCCAAATATCAATTCAAAGATACTTAATCATCCTAGTAAGATTTGTGGGGTGACTAATGTTCCCACTTTCTTTGTTTGACCTAGTGTAGGTTTGGGGAGAGGGGGGGTTCTAGGCCACCTCCTCTACCCTAAAAGTTTAGGGATTCGGAAATTTAGCAATTTG